TGTATATAACATGTTACACACACACACACACACACACACACACATATATATATATATATACACACACACATACGTATTACCTGCTAATTAAAAGCTACTTTGAAAATATTTATCTATATTTAAATAAGTTGATAGAAATTAAAGAGAAGAACATTTTGAACAAATGTCCAAACCACGTTGTTTCTGTCCTGTTTTGTTCAACGTCTCCATTTGATGATGTCTGACCTGTCATCCTTAAGGGTTCATATGTGTTTAGTGTCTTCACTGCCACCCACTGGAGTCTTATCAAGGAAGAAGTCAGCAAGGGAATTCAATGGCTTCTGTATGGATGGGACACAGATGGGACATTGCTGACTAGGGCGGCACCTGTGGTTCTCACAGGGCATCAAGACCTCAAGGTCTCATGGACAATATGGGCTGTCTCAATAAGAGAAGCAAAAACCAGAGTAGTTACAGGGACATGAAGGTCTGTGCAGAGAACAATTACTGTCTTATTTGCCACCGACACAATGATCGTACTGAGGTTTTTACTTTCCCGGTTAAAAAAAGCAAGCCAGAATGCTTTTCCCAAAAGACTTTGAAGGGTTTTTCTACAGAGAAATTACTCAGTATAAACAGACAACACTCCCTAAGAAAGGAATGCAGTACCAACAAAAGACAATACTAATTTAAGTGCCTTTTTTTGAGTTTCAACTTTTAAAATCAATCTCTAAAGGAAGCACTAGAGTCTTAATTTTGAACACAGAACTATTAAAAAATCTATGATTTCATTTAGAACAATTTTAATGAGCCAGGGCGTGGTGGTCCAAGCCTTTAATCCCAGCACTCGGGAGGCAGGGACAGGTGGATCTCTGTGAGTTCAAGGCCAGCCTGGTCTACATAGTGAGTTCCAGGCCCGCTGGGGCTACAGGGAGATCCTGTCTCAAAAAGACCAAATAAATACTTAAATAAATAAATACATTTGAATGATGTAGATAAAATATAAAACTGTGTGCATTTATGTGGTAACATACTATTTTGATACCTGTATATTTCATTGGCTAAGCTGCATTCTTTCTGGTGGCTCTAGTGGAAAGGCTACCTGCATTTCTTGGCTTGCAGCCCTGTTTTACTTCTTTTTGATTTATTATTTTTATTTTATGTGTATGAGTGTATTGCCTGCATGTATGTGAGTGCACCCATGTCGTGCACTCCAAAGAGGGCTTCGGATGCCCCTGGAATTGGCGTTAAGGACAGTTTGTAGGTGTCATGTGGGTACTGGGAATCGAACCTGGGTCCCTGCAAGAGCAGTCAGTGCTCTTAACTGCTGAGCCATCTCTCCAGCCCCCCTGTTTTACTTATTTAAAGGCAGAAACAAATGTTTTCTAATCATTTGCTCTCTGGCTGGTTTTCTTATTTGCCCTTTGTAAGGACCCTTGGTTGGGTCTACCTAAGTGACCCAGTATTATGCCTTTGTTTCAAAATCATAAGGTAAGAAGCCTTACTCTGACCTTCATAGCCACCATTTTCCTATGTAAGCTAACATGTTCACAGTTTGTAGAACTAGGATGCACCATATTTGGGGGCTATTGTTCTTTTCATAAGAGGTGAAAGTACCTTTTTAATCTCCTAGAAAGAAAGAAGATGAGGATAGAAAGACAAAAAAACCTGACAGTATATGAAATATGCATAATTATTATACTCAGCCATCAAGACATATTGAACTTGGTGGAAGAGAGGAATGAAGTGAGATGCTTACTTATAAACCTGAAAATAAGAAAATGATATTTAATATCTAAAGGTAAAAGGTAAGAGATAGCAACATAAACACTATTTATAACTATGAAGAGAACTAAAATATGAATGGTTAAATCATTTAATATGATTTCATGATTTCTTTATTTGGAAACCTGGAATAATAATTTTGCTTACTTCACATTGTTGCTCAAGGCTAAAAAGAGTTAATATATGGCTTTAGGACTGTGCTTGGCACATTTTACATGCTCAAAAATTGGTCATTATTAATTTCAGCACCACACTTTTGTGTTAATTTTATCATCAAGAAAAACAAAAATGAGAATATCTTGTTGCCATAGCAAAGTACCAATATTCAGACAAGAGTACTCTATTACCTCACAAGACTGGGAGGTTAGAACTATGGAATGAAGGCTTCATTAGGGCCAGGCTCCATTTAAAATCTGTAAGAGAATCCTTTCTTGTCTCTTACTGGTTTCAACTGTTTTGCTGGCAGTCTCTGACATTGCTTTAGTTATAGCAACATCTACCTGATGCTCATATGGTGTCTCTTTCATTCTTGTTCTTCATGCTCTGTCAAAATTCACGCTTTTCATGAAGACACCAACCATATTAAATGAAGAGACCTACCTCTTTGGTGCATATGACCTCATCTTCAGTAATTACATCTGTAATGACACTATTTCCAAATAAGATCTCATTCCAAGGTGCTAGGGTTGACACTTTGACATATCTTTTGGGGAAAACATAATTGAATTTATAATACCAGCTTTACTAAGGATAAAGGGAAACTGGCATGCTCACACAGCGACAATGGAAATGGGAATTGTTTAACCTTTCAGAGCAGCAGTTTGTCAATATGTATTATTTTTTTTAATGTGTCTACATTTTAAAATAGCAACCTCAATGTTCTGTCTGGATCATAGACAGATAATTACACAGCAGAAAAATGCTGTGTGGAAAAGGAGGGTCTTCACAGTACTGTTTATAGAATTAAACACAGAGCATAATGGTAGATAATTGGTTAAATGGGCTTTGAGCCCCACAGATGATTCCATTACAAATGAAGGGGTTATTTTGCTGAGTTTTACAATGAAATGCTACACTTCCCACTGAAAACAACATACAGAATTGCTAAGAAGTCTCTGGCCTTGAAAGAGGGCATTTTGTTATTTTTTTCTTTCAGGTAACCAAAACAATAATGTCTTCATTCTAAGTGTTAACATATTGTTAATAAATTGTTTATACATTTTATTTTGGATCCTTTATATCTAATTACATGGAAAAATTTATAATATAAAACTAAATGAAAAACATAAAATATAATCAATGAAATCTTTTAAGAAAACTTTTCTTTTAGATTTATTTTTGTTTTAGTTTTAATTTTTATTTGGGGGGGCACATGTGTGAATGGCTGTGGAGCCCAGAACACAACAGTAGGTACCCTGGAGCTTCAGTTATAGGTGATTGTGGGACATGCTATGGGTGATGAGAACCAAACTCCTCTTCAAAAGCAGCAGGCACTCTTAACTGCTGAGCCATTACTCTAGCCCCATAAGGAAATATTTTTTCTAGAAAGTTCAATGAAACAGTTCATTTGTCACTCTGCATGTTTGGTAAAGTGGTTTCAGGAACCCCTCTAAATACAGAAATCCCTAGATTCTCAAGTCCTTTTTGTAAAGTTGCCTAATATTTGCATGAACCCTATGTACAACTCCACTGTACTTTAAATTGGCTCCATATTACTTATAATGTTACATACAGTACAAACCATTCTCATAATATATGCTTTAGAGGATGACAAGAAAAATTCTGCATGTTCAGTATACAAAACATATTTGCAATCTGCACTTGATTGAATCTGTGAACACAGTCCATAGATACAAATGGTCAGTTGTATCTGAATTTCCAATATTGGAATTCTCCATGTATTTTTAATTTTCCTATCATGAATGTGTACTTTCCATGTCAGAGAGCTCATATAGTGGTTTAATCAAGTGGAATGAGATCTAGGGCTTCTTAAACAGCCAGTAAGATTGACCTTTAAGTTTGATGCCACGTAGGTAGTGCGGAGGAGGAGCGGGGCAGAGAGTACCGAGAACTGGAACAGGAGTACACTCAGGAGGGCTGGGAAACCCCCGCAGATAGAAGCAGTTCTGGGCAAAGGGCTTTCCAGGGTGCTGTACTCTCCTGTTTTATTCTGTGTCGTACTCTGCTGTAGTACTTTATGTCATGATCTCTCTCACCTCCAGCCTTTGAGAAGAACAGCTTTTTCCCACATAAAATTCTAGATGTCTATATCATTGTTTTGTACTTCAGGTACTCTCTCCTAATCGTGAAGTGAAGGGAAATAGGGGGCAGAAAAAAACGACATGCTGTAACATCATGAAATAATAGCATATGTACAGATAATGAAAAACAATGGATGAGTACCCAAGTTCATCTACAAGTGTGGACTCACAGAGACAAGTGTTTGAATATTTACGTTGAAAATTTTCATGGTAGAACAGCACAAAGCATTAATATGTGACATGTGGGACCTAACATATATTCCATTTTGCCAATTACTTTAAGGGTTTCCTTGCATGGTAAATTATTTGACTTCAAGTAAATTTCCACTCTTATTATATCATGGTTAGTTCAGGGTACCTCTTTCAGGCCACTGGAACTGGACACTTTACAAATGGACAAAATATATTCTACAAACCTAGTCTCTCAACAACTCTTTGTTTAGTATCTAAAACTTGGCCATTGAGAAGACAGGTTTTGTCAATGTTTTCTCTGAGGTGGGTGATCAGCTACAGAAAATAATTTCTTGACTGCTCTTGGACCTTCTGGCAATGTGCCTGACTTTTACTAGGGTTAATAACTTGCCACGTCAGCACTGTCTGAGTTGAGTAAATGTCCTACTGTGAAATCTTTACAATCCAAGCCGGATGTGCTATCATCATGGCTTCTCTCACTTCTCAAGAGGCACCAGGCACCAGGGCACCAGACACCATGGCTTTTGTCTCACTTCTCAAGAGGCACCAGGCACAAGGGCACTGTGATTAAGAGGAACTTAAGAAGCCACCTACCTGCCTGGTTTCACAGTTTGGCTCTGCTCCTCATAACAACATGTGGCAAATTATTCACTTTCTATATGCCTGGGTTCCCTTACTGCAATAGTACTCTTTGCAAAATTGTTTTGAAGATCAAACAAGTTATAAACACTTGGAACACGCTGGCATATAGTGTAGAAGTTTGTTAATGAAATAAGGAAATACCTGTACTAGACCGGATTATCTCTGTCCCAACAACATGGCCAAGCAGGTCATATTGATTCAGGCGAGAGCCATCCTGTGCCACTTCCACAGATTTGTTCTTCCCGAGAGTCCAAGAATAAATCACTTCAGCTTTGGTATAGGCATCTATGACAGGGAAAGGTTGAAAAAAGAAGTTTAAGGGAAAGGAAAATAATTACCCATGATGCCAAACGAGTGAGATTTAAATACAGCTTCCATCCACAAAGACTTCTGGATACATGCCTGTCTTTAACGTAAATCCATCCCTCTACCCATTCATGCATACATTCCTCTAATAACCACTCTTTGAACAACTATTATAGTATACACAACATACATGGAAATGAACTCACAGTAGTTTCTCCCTTTAATGACTGACAGTCTTCTAGGTCAATAATACCTTTCCTTCTCTTGGAGGAGAGAGTATATAGAGATTATATAGAGATGGGGAGGAATGGCTAACATGGTACCTCCTTCACACAACTCACACGCAAATGAGACAAGAGCCAGAGAAGTACGTGAAATGAGTGAATCAAGACAGCTATAAGAAAATAAACTGGGTGGCTGGAATGATGGCTTAGCAGTTAGGAGCACTGGCTGCCCTTGCAGAGGACCCAGGTTTGAATCCCAGCACCTACAAGGTGGCTAGCAACCATCTGTAACTCCAGATCCAGGGATCCAATGCCCTCTTCTGACCTCTGGGGGTACTGCACAACACCAGTGCACTTACATACATGCAGGCAATACACTCATAAACATAAAACAAAATAAAAATACTGAATAATAAAATTAAAAAGAAAAATAAACTGCTAGGAATGTAATACATTTTTTTCTTTAATGATGAAGTGAACATATGAGATGAAAATAAATTTCAAACTAATAGTACTTTAAGAATAAAAATCCAAATTAAAATAGCAGTAATTAATAAGCACAATTTTCTTTCATAACTTATTTTTTACCATTTTGATGTGCAAACCAGAAATCTCATGTTTTCTTTTGCACCAGGTTGTCAATGTTTTATCTTAGATTTGTAATTCAAATGTCAAAAATAGAATTTTTACTAGATAGTTTAAAGAAATGAGCTGATTCTTTTCCATATGAAGCCAACTTTTTCTACAATGGAGCTTATGTTTGCAGTAAGCACTTTGCCCTAACTCAGGTACCTACCTAGACTCAGAAATGGAAGTTAACTGCCATACTTTTGCCCGTTCCCTTCAAGTTTTAAGATGTCTGTTGTTAAAGTCAATGAGAAAAGTTATCTCCCTCCTGCTTATGGTAGCAACTACTGCGTCCATACGTGCTCTAGTTAAATAGTTTACCACAACCAAATACTTTCTTCCCATAAGCATATGTAGATTCTGGATCCCTGCAAAATTTTTCAACACTGAATATACTTCTCATAAGAAAATCTGGCATAAGATCTACATATGTGTATTAGTTGTGATCTGTATACATTATACATTTTGGGACTTGTTTTCATACAATTAAGTGAGCCATTCCATGACTTACTTATAATGATACATGGGACTTGCTGGCTAGCTAATCTAAATAAATCAGTGAGATCCAAGTTCAGTGAGAGACTTTGTCTCCAAAAAAAGGGGGCGGAGTACACAATGACTGAATAAGACATGCTGTATCAACCTGTGGCCTCTACACACACACATTTTTTTAAAAGAAAAATTTATAAGATTTAATTTTTTCACATAAATTGTCTGATAAATAATCCCAATCATTTCTAAACTATTAATAATATTACTTCACATTGACACAGTTTGTCCTGCAAAAAATGGGGGTATTTAAATGGGAGGGTTAAGAGGGAAAGTTATTCAAGGAACTATGGGGGTAAAGGGGAAGAAGGAACTCAAGAGAGGGGGAAACCATAGGAGACAAGTATTATCAAGGGAAAATGGGGAAAATGGCAGCATTTTAACTGGGGAGGGAAGAGAGAGGGTTAGACAGGGAGAGAGAAGGAGAAATAAATAATGCTTATCTGGCATGAAAAACTAGAGGGAAATGTATTAGTTTGAAAACATACTGAAAATAGATACTTTTATAAATTTGGAATACATAAAATATTTTTATATCTGGAAGTTGTCAGTAGCAATACTTAGTGCACATACTGAAATATAAAACGTTTTAATTTCAATCTATTTAATTTTTTTTTAATTTTTTTGATGCAGGGTCTCCTTTAGCCCCAGCTGGCCTGGATCTCATATGTAGACAAGGCTGGCCTTGACCTCACAGTGATTGACCTGCCACTGCCTCCCCAGTGCTAGGATTAAAGGGGTGCACCACCACGCTCAGCCTTTCCTGTTTAGTAGCCTCGTCCCTCACCCAATTATCTGTAATTCTGCTTTCTAATGTTTCAATTCCATTCAAATATTGATGGAAAATTTGAGGAAAGAAAAGTTTACAAATTGCAAGCTGCACGCCATTCCAGGAAACACAGTGGACTCTTTCACTATTCCATTCTTTCCTCATGGGGACATGGATTTTCTCTTCCTCTAGTATATGCACACTAGGCATGCTACCATGCAGAGTCACTTAATTAGTCTTCTCTAATCAATTAGTCACTTAATTGCCTTCTCTGTTATCAATACTGTTTGTGCCTCAAGAAACCCTTACATGGTAGCCTAACACTATCACTACCGCCATGTCATTCACCTCCTATCATGTGACTGTAGGAAGTAGGTCAAGTGCAGTATAATAAGACACAGAAAGAACATTTATATATGAGCACAGATGCTATACATATACAGTTGTGCAAATGGTACTATCCACAGATTCTAATATCTACTAGGGGTCTCAGTTCCTATTCCTCTAGATAAGGGAAGGAAAATAGTGCCTCTCAATTATAGTTTTCTATAATAGATTGCATAAGTTTGATATCTGAAGTTTAATTATTTTTAAAAATTCATACTTTGCAAGAATAGTAAAGTGAAATAATTTCATTTCTGTAAGGAAATTTAATCTCTCTCATATGATTTAAAATACACCTATCAGGGATGGAGAGATGCATCAGTGGTTAAAAGCACTGACTGTAGTTACAGAAGTCCGGGATTCAAAGACCAGCACCCTCATGGCAGCTAACAACCACCTGTAACTCCAGTTCCATGGTATCTGATGCCCTCTTCTCTTCTCCATAGACACTGTGTGAGTCTGGTACACTTACACACATGTAGGCGTAATGCTTATGCACATAAAATTAAAATAAATAAATCAAAAAATTAAAACATAGCTATCTCCGTCTTTTAGTGTTTGAATTTAAAACTTTAATAGAAATAAAAGAATTTAGTTTCCTCTTAATTGGGTTATGACTTCTTAATTGTATTAAAAGTGCAAAGGAATTGATTAATGGTAACTTATATTGGACCTTGTTTTCAGACAGAAAGGTAAAAGTCATGGAAACCATGAGGAATGTATGAATGTATGAACTTGTTAACACTCAGCCCTCAGTTGATTGTGACCCTGTAAAATATGAGTGCTATCAGATCGTCTAATTTCAAAAAGCAGTGAATGAATACAGGAATTTATATGACATATTCCAAATTCTCAATCTTGCCACATGATTTGTGTGTATGGTGTATACATATGTGTATATATACATACCCGTGCAAGTGTGAGGCCAGAGGAGAATGTTGGGTGGTCTTTCTCTTGCTGTCAGCCAGCATACCCCAAGGATCTTCCTGTCTCATGCTGAACACCCTACCTTGCTAACACTGGTGATATAGGCATGCATATCCATGTCTGCCTTTGAATGTTGGAACTAGGCATTCAAACTCAGGTCATTTATGCTTGGATGACAAGCACTTTAGTCACTAAGCCACCTCCACAGTCCTTGACAAATGACTTTTTAACGTAATGAACACTGCATGGATCAAACTTATGACAAGTGCAGCGTCAATTTGCAACCTGTGTTCAAGAGACTTCCTTCCATATGACAACGGCCTGTTGTGATTTAACTTCAGAAACAAAGCATTCCATGACATTGATGATCTATTGAAGAGACCAATCACAGTTCTTTAAATTACTACCACCCAAAACAAATGTAAAGCTTCCAAATCTTCTCATGCTCTTAAAGGAATGTGAGTTAACAGGATGCTGCTTTCTTACTTTTTTTTCCTCCATCTTTCGGCCATAGGCTCTGGATACCTCTTCTCCTGAGCCGGAACCCACCTGTCCCTATCTTCTCGTCTTTGTTGTTCAGGCAGCAATACAGGGTTCTACCGAAGGGTTTTGACAATGTAACACTTTTTTATTCATGGAAAAGCTGAGTTATGGAAGATTTTGTTTTGCAACTCTAAGGTAAAAATTTTCTTGGTGGATTTCTTAACTTAAGCTGAGTATATAAGAGCAGACGTTAGTGAATGCCAGCCTGAAAACTAGCAATTCTTAGCCAAATATGACAATAAATTGTGCCACTGCTCATGCCTCCAAAAAATTTGACTGAGTCCAGAGTGGCAAGCTTTCCATACAGAAATTATTTTAATATCTTGGAAAATAATAGAGAGAGACAGGCATTTGTGGAGACAAAATCCTCTGTAAGCAGAAAAAGCATGGAGTAATGAATGAAGAAAGTACAAATTCAGGGTAGCCCAGTGTTACATAAGTACCTCAGGGGTAAGCAGAGCACATGCTTAGCACCCACACGGTCCTAGGTATAATCACTAGTACTGGAGTCAGAGAAAACAGGAAGGGAGAGAAGGAGAGAGCGAGGGAAGGAGGAGGTACTTGGTTGAGCTTATACTTGAAGCCTGTACTGGCAAAAAAGAAAAAAGAAAAAGAAAACCGAAACAGTAATAAAGCAGAGGGTTTTTTTCTCCTATATGGAGGGACTACTGAAAATGTAGAAGGAGAAGGGGAAATGTGGGAGGGAAATAAAAAGGAGAACAAAGGGAGTAAACAAAGTACATTATATGCATGTATAAAAATATCAGAATAAACCCCCTTACTTTGGATAATTACTATATATTAGTAAAAGAAAGATGCTGTACCCACCAGCAGGGAGCTTGTAATCTTCTGAAGGAGACAGAGAGTCTAACACTTGTAATGCAATTCTGAGAATCAAAAGTATGCAACTTAGTTGAAAAAAAAAACAAATCCTAGGCGAAACTAGAAGTGGACAC